CCAGCCGGGATCCGCCTAGATCTAGCCCATGGACCGATCAGTTTGCCTGATGAAGTCCGGATCCAGCTTAGCGGGAGGCGGCAGCTTTATAGCGTTAAGGCGAAGATCGTCAACGTCGGCCAGTACCTTCGGATCCAAGCAGGAGAGTCGGTGGAGCTGCCATTGCGCCTGAGGTCGCCGATCCACGACAAGCTGTGGATCACGCGTGGGGATCGATGGGTACCGACAATATCCGATGGACCGGGGAGGACGAAGTACGTCTCGATCACCAACATCGGGGACGAGGTGTTGATCTTGCATCAAGACCAACGGATCGGGATCTGGCTGGTCGGAGATCATGTGCCGCGAATACCAGGTTTCATCTCGATCGACTCTCGTCGTTATATGGAGTGGCAGAATCTAGCATTGGAAGATCCGAAGACATGGAGATCAAGACCCCGCTTACACCCGCGGTGGAGCGGCCCAAGTACGAAACTCAGCGCGATACTCCAAAGGCCGAAGACAACGTTGATCCAGTGTCGGAAGGTCGAGGCGAGTCAGGATCAGGATATTCCTGACTACCTAACTTCGGACAAGTCGCCATCGGACAAATCGCCGTCTGAGATTCAACCGTTGGATCTAGCGTCTGTCGCAAGTGAGGAGTCGGATATGTCGTCTATCGCAGATGAAGACTCTATATCGTATGCTGTAACGGTCAAGGAGGCGCTAGAAGATCTCAATCAGGCAACGCCAGACGTGTGGGCGACTGATCCGTCGTTTTGGGACGGAACATGTGACCGGTGATCAGTTGCACGACAAGTGCGCCGCATCTATGTGGCAAAAAACGGACATGGATCCATCACCTGTTGTTGAAGATCAACCAGGCATATCGGATCTGGACCTCACCTGGGACTCAGATCAAGATTATGATGAATGTGTATATTACCATGAAGGAAGTGGTCTGTACGCAGAAAGATGGCTGTACTACCAGAAGTGCCTGTGACGACAAAAGATGTGAAGATCGAGGACATTCAGCTATGTGGATCTGATAATCAGACCCCAGAAGAAATTGATCGACTTCGCCAAACGATCTGGAAGTTCCGACATCTCTTGATCGGCAAAGTAAATGCCCTCCCGCCGGCGACTAGAGGTGTGGTGTGCGATATCGACGTCGGAGGAGCGAGGCCTATCGCCCTGACGTGTCGTAAGTTGCGGAGCCAGTTCAGGGAGAAGCTGGCAGACTTGATCAAGGGTCTGTTGTCCGCCAAAATGATCAACTACTCTAGATCACCATGGGCTTCCCCGATCGTGGTAATCATCAAGAGAAGAATGGAGTGGATATCAGGTTGTGTATCGATTATCGGCTGGTTAACAGCTTAACTCAGCTAATGAGCTATCCAATGCCTTGATCAACGACCTACTCGAAGATCTGGAGTCGACACTTTGGTACTGTTCTTTGGATATGGTGAGTGGATTTTGGGTAGTGAAAATGACGGATCGTGCTCGCTTGATATCGGTTTTTATCACTCCCTTCGGGTTATTTGAGTGGAACAGGATGGCTTTCGGCTTGAAGAATGCGCCCCAGACCTATCAACGTATGATCGACAACGCGCTATATGGGTTCACCCGGATCCCGAAGTCTGAAGACCACGGAGGTACTTCGGATGTGTTTGAGGACGGGGAACCGGTGGGTCCAGGCAAGCCATCGGTGCTTGGGCGTAGTTCATATATCGACGACATCTTGATCCCAGCCAATAACTGGGATCAACTATGTGATCGAGTCGAAGGTTTACTCGAAGCGTGTGATAAGTTGAATCTGTCGATCAGTGTGGTCAAGGGTTTCTGGGGAATGCCTAAGGTGGAATATCTGCGTCATAAGGTCTCCCACAATGGACCGGAGGCGAACCTGAAAGGATCTGTCGGCGTTGACGGATCTAGCATTCCCTGGATCACTCCGAGCCATGCAGTCATTTTTGGGAAGTCTGAAGTATTACAGCCGGTTCATTGAAGACTATGCGATTTATGCGTCAGCTCTGTATGAATTGCGAGAAATCGACTTTGCTGCGATGGTGAAAGAGGCTACTCAAGCGCGGATCCAACAAGTGTTGGAAGCGGAGAACGGGGATCGAGGATCACAGGAAGGTCAGGAGGTCGACCACTGAAAGACATTGGATCTGGAGGCGCCAGATCCTACCGAGGCGGATCCGCGTTGGATCCATGCCCATCGATCCTTCAGTGCGCTCAACACTCAAAGCCAAGATCGCTACTACTCCGGTCCTACGGCACTTTGATCCAGAACGGAGGGCCATGGTTGTGGTATATGCTAGGGATTGGGCCATCTCGGGATCATTGATGCAGGAATACGACCAGATCAATTACCCCGTGATGTTTGCGAGCCACACTCTGAAGTCGAATGAACTAAACTATGGCATCGCGGAGAAGGAGGTATTAGCCTTTCTGAGGATCCTGGATCTTAACTACAACGCACTAGTCGGACGCCCGATCCACGTGTTAACCCGACACTCAACGTTGGCGTGACTCTTCAGATCCACAGTCCTACAAGGACGTCTGGGACAGTGGGCTGCTCTGTTGTCACCTTGGACTCTGGAAATCACCAAGTGTGTCAAAGGAGAGGACGAGATCTTAGGATCATTGGCGGCCAGTATTACCCCTAGATCCGAAATGGATAAAGCATTGATCTCCATTGCCTAAAAAAAGGAGCCAAGACGCAAGCTCCAAGCTCCGATCCCCACTATTAGACGCGAGGAGGAGCTATACGTCGTTAGTTTCTATGGATCTGCTCGCGTCAAAAGAGGTGGGGGCGCCTACAGCGCGATCTTGTGGAAGCTGCCCGAATGGAGGGTGCTGAAAGCTAGATCTGGGTGTGCCGAAGGCTTGACGGTGAGCGAGGCGGAATACCATGGGCTATTGCTATGTTTGGATATGTTGGAAGATCTGGATCCGCGACGTCTGGTGATCTGCGGAGACTCGAACCTGGTGATCCGACAAGTACGAGGTGAGATCGATTGTAAGGCACTGGGTCTAACACTGTTACGCCAGCGGGCTCTGGATCGACTACGTACTTGGCCAGATCATGAGCTGTTACACGTCAAACGAGATTGGAACGGGAGTGCTGATAGCTTAGCAAGCACTGCTCTGCAACAGCAATGTGGGATCGAGATAGAGTCTGACATGGAGATTCAGGATCTCATAACTTTAAATCGGTTGGATGCGATCCTGATAGTGAAAGTCGAAGACAAGATCGCACAGATATCAGATGTGACGACCCGATCTAAGGCTAGATCGGGAGTGCGTATTGGATCTGATCCAGGCTCCCTACGAGAAGAGGTCGTGAGAGAGCTGCGGATCGAGCGAATCCGACAAGCACAGGATGAGAAGTCGTGGATCATGGGCTTGAAGAAGTACTTGATTGGGGAGATCCGGGATCTGACACAAGAAGAGGCTAAGATGTTTGGATCTATTGCTATGAATTATGAAGTGAATCAGTTGGATCTACTCTTCTATTGCCCGACAACTAAAGAAACCGCTGCAGATCGAGATAAGTTGATGCGACTGGTGATACCTGAGTCACTTCAACAGGACATTTTGCATCACTATCACACGAGCCTACAGGGTGGCCATCAAGGGATCGGTCGCACCTACGATCGGATCCGTGATCATTTCACTGGAGAGGGCTGTACAATAGTGTACAGCGATATGTGAGGGAATGTGTCGACTGTGAAACAGATCTGGATCAACGAGATTGGAACGAATACGCTGAGCGGCTCACCTTCGCGATCAACACTGCAAGAGATCGAATCCGAGGTGAAACCCCTTTCTACATGATACATGGTTGGGATCCTAGGTCCACCTTGGAAGCGGTGATCCCGATGGGGAGCACTCGCAGGCACGATCAAGATCCAAGAAGATGGCGATATCGGATGCAAATATACTATCAACAAGCGAGAACAAGTGAACCAACGTATACGCGAAGCGATCGCGGATCGGGCCGACGTGCATATTGATCTAGTACGTCCTCATCCTGTAGAGTCTGGATCAAGGGTCTGGT